GAAAATATATCACAATCAGTAGATAAAAAATTACATACAATCGGAGTTTTTTTGGATTTACAGAAAGCTTTTGATACCATCGATCACAGAATATTATTATATAAATTGGAAAAATATGGATTTAGGGGAAATGTATATTCTTGGTTAGAAAATTATTTAACAGACCGTTTTCAGTACGTTAATTTAAATGGAGTTGCGTCCTGCTTTCAGAGAATTAATTGTGGCATTCCGCAAGGCTCTGTTTTGGGCCCCAAGTTATTTTTGTTATATATAAACGATATTTGTAAAGTGTCGGATGTTTTAAATTTTATTCTTTTTGCGGATGATTCAACAATTTATTGTTCTGGCCCAAATATTACAGAGCTTGTGTTGGTGGTAGAGAAAGAATTATATAAACTAAAGAATTGGTTTGATTTGAATAAATTGTCATTCAATTTAAATAAAACTAAATTTATGGTATTTAGTAATAAAGAGATAAATAATGAGATCAGGATTACTATTAATGATAATGCATTAGAAAGAGTAAATCATATAAAATTCCTTGGAGTAATTATTGATTGTAAAATGACATGGAAACCGCATATTTTTAACGTTCAGAAGAAAGTATCAAAAACGATTGCAATTTTGTATAAGTTGCAATATATTTTGAACAAAAATGTATTACATTTACTTTATTGTTCACTTGTCACACCATACTTAACGTATGGTATTGAAATATGGGGAAATACATACAAAACTAGAACCAATCCAATTTTCCTATTACAAAAGAAGGTTATCAGATTAATTAACTACACCACCAAGTAATTTACTGTTTCATCAATCAAAAATTTTTAAGTTTTATGACTTAGTTGATTTGTATACGTTAAAGTTTATTTATCAAGTCAAATATAATAAAACTCCTAAATGCTTGCAATTATTATTTACCCAGCGAGAAAGTAAATATAATCTTAGAGGATTATGTATATTTAATCCACCACAAGTACATTCTACATTAAGAGAACACTGTTTATCAAATAAAGGAGTTAAATTGTGGAATAGTTGCTGTAATGAGTTAAAACAAGCCATGTCTATTTTTCAGTTTAAAAATATCTACAAGAGAATAACATTGGAAAAATATTTATTAGAATGAAAATTAATTAAATAGGCTTGTTTCTGTTGTGGACAATGGTCCACTAATGTGTTACTGTTAATTTTATGAACAGATGTTGTCATTAATGAGTTGCATTTATGATTCTAAAGCTAAGGGCAGGCACAATAAGCTTTAGCTTCTGCCTGCACCTGGTCATCTATAGTGTTTATGTTTTGAATGATTTGATTGAATGATCTGTAAATGACCAAACCGAAATAAATGAAAAAATGAAATGAAAACTTCAATAATTTCTTCATCTAAACCATCAACCTGCCTCTTAGACTCCATCCGGACTAGGCTGCTTAAAGAAGTTTTACCATTAGTCAGCACTTCTCTACTAGATATGATCTATCTTTATTAACAGGCCAATACAGGCCAAGTACCACAGTACTTTAAAGTAGCTGTAATTAAACCTCTTCTGAAAAAGCCCAAACTTGATCCAAATGATTTAGCAAACAACAGACCTATATTTAACCTTCCATTTCTCTCTAAGATCCTTGGGAAAGCAGTCGCCAAACAGCTGTGTGACTTTCTACAGAGCAATAGTTTATTTCAGGATTTTCAGTCAGGATTTGGAGTTCATCATAGCACAGAGACAGCACTGGTGAAAATTAATAACAACCTCCTAATTGCATCAGACAAAGGACTTGTCTCTGTACTGGCTTTATTAGATCTTAGCACTGCATTTGATACCATTGACCATCAGATCCTATTACAGAGACTGAAACATTTCATTGGCATTAAAGGAACCGCTCTAAGCTGGTTTAAGTCCTATTTATCAGATCGATTTCAGTTTGTACATGTTAACGATGAATCCTCCATGCGCACCAAAGTTAGTCATGGAGTTCCACAAGGATCTGTGCTCAGACCAATCCTCTTTACTTTATATATGCTTCCTTTAGGCAATATTATCAGGAAATATTCCATAAACGTTCATTGTTATGCAGATGATACTCAGTTATATCTATCAATCAAGCCAGATGAAACTGATCAGTTAGCTAAACTTCAAATGTGCCTTCAGGATGTTAAAACCTGGATGACCTGTAATTTTCTAATATTAAACTCAGATAAAACTGTATTGTTCTGGGGCACAGGCACCTCCGTGACGCATTATCTAAAGATGTAGTTTACCTGGATGGCATCACCTTGGCCTTCAGCACCACTGTGTGGGATCTTGGAGTTATCGTTGATCAGGACATGTCGTTTAAGTCTCACATTAAGCAAATTTCAAGGGCCAGCTTTTTTTCACATTCGTAATATTGCAAAAATCAGGAACATCCTGTCTAAATATGATGCAGAAAAACTAGTCCATGCATTTGTTACTTCAAGGCTGGATTATTGCAATTCCTTATAATCAGGCTGCTCGAAAAAGTCCATTAAGACTCTTCAGCTGATCCAGAATGCTGCAGCCCGTGTTCTGACAGGAACCAGGAAAAGAGATTACATTTCTCCTGTCTTAGCTTCTCTGCATTGGCTTCCTGTAAAATCCAGAATAGAATTTAAAATCATTCTTCTCACCTACAAAGCGCTTAAAGATCAGGCACCATCTTATCTTAACATGCTCATAGTACCTTACTATCCCACCAGAGCACTTCGCCCCCAGAATGCAGGGTTATTTGTGGTTCCTAGAGTCTCCAAAAGTAGAATGGGAGCCAGAGCGTTCAGCTATCAAGCTCCTCTCCTGTGGAACCAGGTTCCAGTTTTAAATGTAAATGCTCCGTATAGCGCCTTTCTAGTCTTTTTGACCACTCAAAGCACTTATACACTAGATCTGCATTCTGAGCCTAAGTGCTCAAATTGAAACTAACATTCACAGGGCAAACCAGGGTTTGGGACCACTATCTTGCCCAAGGACACTTCGACACACCAGGATCATCACATCACATCGGGGACACTGATTTAGTCTTTAGACCCACCGGGGACACATATTAAGTCTTTAGACACTGAGAGGAAACATATTTAGTCCTTAGACACACTGGGGACACTGATTTAGTCTTTAAACACAGAAGGGACACTGATTTAGTCTTTAGACCCACTGGGGACACTGATTTAGTCTCTAGACACACCGAGGAAACTGAGTAGTGCACATTTTAGTTCAGTGTCTTTCTTAGACAGTTTTCTGTTTTTAAAGAAAGGCATGAAGAAAGCAGCATGTGGGAAACAGGAAGTTCCCTCTCTTCTAAACTGAAAGTCACATTTTAGATATGCATTAGTCACTAGCCATCTTATTTGTGGTGTTGCAGAATTTTGGACAGCGCTCATCCTGGACAGTAAAATGTTTCTTGGGAGACGTAGGCCCAGAGACAGAGACCTGACCTCGGTTGGAACTGGAAAAGTTTGATTTCTGGTAAACATCAGGGTCAGGGCAGACAATGTAAAGGGCTTGATACGACATTATGGTGACAGAATAGTAAAAATGAGTTGGGTGGAAAATGGCTGCAGTGCAGATTTCTCATTTGTCTGTGTCACATTGCATTTGTGAAGAGGCCTGGATGGCAGGTACATATCATTAGTAACGCTTTAGGGATATCATGATGCTATTTTATTTAACCAGCGTAGCACATGGCTCATGAATGCATAAAGAGACTGTCTCCAGCTGCGTCTTCTAACCCACCATGCTGGGGGGGACAACTAATAATGTAAGGACTATAGATTTTAGCATGAGATAACTGAACAGCTAGAGCCACCATGCTGTAATCTGCACTGTAATCTAAAGTTTTTATTATCTTCAAGTTATTAATTTGTCATATACACAGCTGTAATTGGGTGAATTCACAGAGCTACTCATCTAACTGCATCTCAGAGACTGCATTTACAGTCATAGGAAAAAGTATGTGATCTATTTAGAATTTCCTGGATTTCTGCATAAATTGGTCATAAAATGTGATCTGATCATCATCTAAGTCACAACAATAGACAAACACAATCTGCTTAAACTAATACTGCACAAACAATTGAATTGTTTGTTTTTATTGAACACACCAATCAACAAACAAAGTGAGGCATTCTGTATTGTATGGCCCAATGAGCGGTCTGTGTAGCAGCACTCCATCGGAGGATATTGCTGCACACATGGTGATATTGGCACCCCTTTGGCCTGGGACACCCACTGTAGCTCTTTTTCCAATCAAATTTTGTCCTTGCAGGCGTGTTTTTACCATGTGGAACACAGCCTTGTCCATGTAGCTAAAAACATAAGGTGTGTGATGGTCTTCAACATGTCCAGAGGGATTCCATGGGGGTGGAAGACGTGGTTGATAAGCAGGCGGGCTGTTTCCAGAGAGGTGGGGAGTTTGGGCAGGGGAATGAAGTGGGCAGACTTAGAAAAGCGGTCGACGATAGTGAGAATGGTTGTGTTTCCGTTGGGCTCCAGCCCAGTCCACCGATCCGTGCGCCCACTGGAGGACCTGGGAGCGGTACAGCGGATTCCACCTCCCAGACCACGGAGGCGACAAGACAGGAGCATCGAGTTTAGTGTTGCAGGATCCAAGGCGGTAGGAGAGGGTGAAGTTGAACCGGTTGAAGAACAGGGCCCATCGAGCTTGGCAGAGTTAAGCCTCTTGACGGTCACTATTTATAAATGAAGTATTATTTTAATGACAAACCATTTATATATGAGTTGTTAATGGTTCATAAGATCATTTGGAAAGTTAAAAAAAATTATTTCATAGGCTAACTGCCTGTTTTTTGATACTGTCCCGAGAAAGAATAGAAACAATCTCAGCATAACTCATAAATCTACTAGTGGCAAAGTGCAAAGGATGCTGCTAAGACTGCCTGAAAGATGCCCCAGCTAACGTTACTGGCGGCGTGGAAAAGCCTCACCGTTACAGGCCTGGTACCTTATCTCTGAGACAGATCATCTATCACTACCAGCTCATCAATGATGTGCTTAATGATTGTATCTGATAAAAAGTATTATTCCAATGAAAAAACATAAATGCACCTATGGTTCATACAATCACGTAGAAAGTTTAAGGGAATTATTTAATAAGTATTTACCCTCTTAAGTAAGGACTATCTAGGCCATACAAAGCATTTCAAATGAGATTGAAAAAAGTCTCAGGCTTCTTAAGTCTCAGTTTTTTTATGGCCTGGGTTAACACCCATTTAGTGTTGTTTTTGGACGTCTCGGCGGTCAAGTAAGCAACAATAAATACGTAACGTCTGGTTAGGCTTTCAAAATAAAACTAGTGAATAACGATTTGAAAACAGAACATTACTTGTGTTCCATATGCAAACGAATAAAAAAAACTCAATATTGACTTTGTGTTTAAGACAGGAAACAAGTGAAAGTATGGTTTCTGGTCAAGCCACCCATCTCAACCATGTCTCCTCCTTACCATAGACCACATAAAAAATACGGGCCTTAAAGCAGCGCTATTTTGACCCTCGGCGCATCCAGTAATCTGCAGTGTGCACTCACTTTAGCGCAAGACCACACTGAGGAAGAACAGAGAGAAGTGGGCTAAGAACATGGACTGTATATAAAAATAGACAGTGTCCGTGACGTCACCCATTGGTTTCTGAAGAGCTGTATGTGATGAAGTTAGCTCAAGCTAAGGAGCTAAATGCTACTCTGCATTAGCACAGGTAGCTTCTACACCCCCGGTGCTGTACAGTGGAGGTTGGAACCTGCAACCGTGTTGACCAGTACAGCACTGGGAAAGGTCATGGACTTCATCAAGAAAGCACAGCTATCTCAGCACAACAAGAGCAAAGAAAGACAGACCCGGAAATTCCAAAACCTACAGTCCAGAGACAGCTGCACTAACAGAACAGGAGAATTGTCTTGGAGGAAAAAGGACAACAACCCCACAACACATGAAACAAACAGATGGGTGAAAAACTTGTCAGATAGGGAACTCACCCAACCAGAGAAAGACGTTCTGGCCAAAGGATTAAACTTTGCCATTACACCACAGCAACTACCTATAGTAGACCTCATCACAGCCACAGAATCGGCCATTAGGAAAAACAAATTAACAGAAACAGAAGTGGAACAGCTCAGACTAAAGGTATCTGCAGCCCTTTCTAATGTGAAGGCCCCCCCTTCCAACCTCACCATCCAAGAAAGGAAGGCTGTGACATCTCTGAGCAAGGATCAAAACATCACTATCCTACCTGCTGACAAAGGAAGATGCACGGTAGTCCTTAACACAGCGGACTACCAGAACAAAGTCAACACACTACTAATGGCCACAAACACATATGAGACACTGAGACGAGACCCAACCAGCGGATACAAGAAAAAGGCCATAGAATGTCTACAATAGTTACAGAAGGACAACACCATCACCCGTGAACAATATTACCGTTTGTATCCGTTCGTATCATCCAAGCCATTCCATGTATTTATGGACCCCACTCAGGCCAATTCAATTAAATTTTATTTATATAGCGCCAAATCACAACAACAGTTATCTCACAGCGCTTTTCATAAAAGAGCAGGTCTAGACCATACTCTGTGATGATATTTACAGAAGCCCAACAGTTCCCACCAAGAGCAAGCACTAGGCGACAGAGGCAAGGAAAAACTTCCTTTTAAGAGGCAGAAACCTCGAGCAGAACCATGGCTCAGGGTGGGCGGCCATCTGCCTCGACCGGTTGGGTGAGAGAGAGAGAGAGAGAGGGTGAGAGAGAGAGAGAGAGAGAGAGAGAGAGAGAGAGAGGGATGTAAGGAGAGAGAGAGGGGAGGGGGGCAGCCTACACAATATACACACAGAGGTACAGACAGTGAAGGTAATGTTGCTATAGACTAAATGAAAAATGGTACAGATATTTATAATAGTGTTAATGGTAACCATCGTAATGTTAATGATTATAAAAACAATAATAACAATAAGACTAGCAACAATAGTCGTTGCAGTAGAGGGTGTCGAGCAGGAACACAGGGGTAGCAGGTGACCCGCAGCCACAGATCCAGACTCCACAGCTCCAGAGCCAGAAAACCTGCAGGAAGTGATAGGAGGAGAGGGACGAGAAAGCACAAGACTACCAGAAAGGGGAGAAGTTGTGTTAGTAACATGCAATAATGGGATAAGGTTGCATACAGAGGGAGAGAAAGTAGAGGAGAGAGGAGCTCAGTGCATCATGGGAAATCCCCCGGCAGTCTAGGCCTATAGCAGCATAACTAAGGGATGGTTCAGGACTACCTGAGCCAGCCCTAACTATAAGCTTTATCAAAGAGGAAAGTCTTAAGCCTACTCTTAAATGTGGAGATGGTGTCTGCCTCATCAATTATCAGCAGCATTAACTTGGTCACCTACAACATTGTCAAACACATTTCTACCATCTTAGCTCCTTTGGTGGGAAACACGCCTCACCACATCCAAAACTCTATTGACTAAACAAACTTCAAGGACTAAAACTGGATCCAGATGAAACCATGGTATCCGATGACATGACTTATTTGTTCACCTGCATCCCCACCATAGAGGCAGTAGAAACCATTAGGAAACGGCTAACACAAGACAACGCCCTGGACAACAGAACTAGCCTCAGCCCTGACCAGATCTGTAAATTAATCGACCTCTGTCTAAACACCACCTACTTCCAGTACAACGGAGGATTCTACAGACAGAAGCATGGCTGTGCCATGGGCTCACCGGTATCCCCGATTGTGGCAAACATCTACATGGAAGAAGTGGAGAACAAAGCCCTCAACTCCTTCAGAGGAATAGCACCGAGCCACTGGTACAGATATGTGGACGACACTTGGTTCAAAATTAAAAGCCAGGAAGTGCAAGCCTTCACAGAACACATCAACTCTGTGGACAGTAACATCAGGTTCACACGAGAAGATGTTCACAACAACAGTTTGGCCTTCCTGGACTGCGCTGTACACATTGAAGAGGACAGGAGCCTGCAGATTGGCGTTTACAGAAAACCCACACACAGACCAATACCTACTCTTTGATTCACACCACCCACTGGAGCACAAGCTAGGGGTCATGAGAACACTGCACCACAGAGCAGAAAACATACCAACAAGCGCCCAAGCCAGAGAGAAGGAACAGAACCACCTGAAGGGGGCACTTGCAGCCTGTGGATACCCTAAATGGACCTTTGTGAAGACAGCCACAAGATCCAAGAAGAACAAAACTACAGGGGAGGAGGAAAAGAAGGTCAAACGCAACAACATTGTGATTCCATACGTGTCTGGAGTATCAGAGAAACTCAGGAGGATTTTCAACACACACAACATCCCTGTGTTTTTTAAACCCAAGAACACACTAATGATGCTGGTCCACCCCAAAGACCGCACACCCAAACACAAGAAAAGCAATCTAGTGTATGCGGTCCAATGCAGTGAGGAATGCACAGACCTGTATATTGGGGAGACTAAACAACCACTACACAAACGCATGGCTCAACACAGAAGGGCCAACTCCTCAGGTCAAGACTCTGCTGTCTACTTACATCTGAAGGACAGAGGACACTTGTTTGAGGACCACCAGGTGCACATTTTAGACAGAGAAGATGGATGGTTTGAAAGAGGTGTCAAGGAAGCCATCTACACCCTGGTTGAGAAGCCGTCATTGATCAGAGGAAAAACGTAAACCTAACAAACGTAACCTATTGGCCTCAGGTGAAGATACCAACGATGGTCATTCAGTCTTGGCCACCGTTAGTCCTAACGACTGGAACGACTGTCGTTACAGCAACCAGGAACACTAACGAACCAGCAGTATTGATGACCCTGGCAAACAACCACACTGAGGTTAAATAGCTGAGTTTCCCTGCCAGTCAGTCAGAACTGAAGAAGTCCTTTGGATGAGGGACGAAACGTCTTCCAGTATCTTCAACCAAGTCCAGTTTCCCTTTGTTAAGAGGTTGTGTGGTGTGGGGACAGAGAGGACCCAAACGCAGCACTCTGAGGGAAGGAGGTTTATTGAGGGAAAAAGGGTGAGAGGGACTGGAGTGGAGGGAGAGGTGGATGTCGGGGAAACACAGGTACGGGGAACCAAGGAGACTGGGGGCCAGGGAGCTGGGGAACACTGGGGCCGAGGAAGCGAGGAGCGGTGGGAGAACAGGGAGGACGCCGTGGGGGAAGTCTGAGGAGGAGAGGGGCGGTCGATGAGCCCAGCCGACTGAACGGAGGACAAGGGTGAGTGTACCTGGGAGGGAAACAGAGAGACAGGGTTAGAGATGACAGAGACAAAGCACGGGGGAAATGTGAGAACAAAACAAGAAACATGAGAGCCTGTACGTGGAGGTGGCATTGGGTATGGAGCAACAACGATCAAGCGAGGATGGTGTGGAGAACCGGGGTTGAAATACAGGCAGGGATGAGGTAATTACTGGCAGGTGTGGCAGGCTGACGAGGTGGCTGATGAGGTGGCTGATGAGGTGCAGGTAGTTGGCTGGGCTCAGGAGCAGAGGGAGAGAGAGAGAGCACACAGGGGAGAAAACACAGGGAGGCAGGCAGGGAACAGAAAACCAAGGAAAAAACAGAATAACTGATAAGGAGAA